CTGACCAGGGACGTCTGGAAAGGTGACCTTGGTGAGCTCAAAGATAAGGGCGCCGAAGACCGTGAGGAGGGGTGCTGCCCATGCGCGGAAGAAGGAAATGATTGGTCTCGCTTTGAGCCAGTCCTTGGTCGGTTTGGGAAGAATGCGAGCCGTGGGCAAAGGTGCATGAAGTGGAAGTCCCCATGCACAACGGTGTTGTAGTCGAGCAGGTACCATGGTGACAACTTCGGCGCGACAAGATGCCGCAGACTCACGGCACAGTGCAAAGACTTCACCTGTGCAAAAGGTCTTGTGCATCAGCATGTCATGTACTCGTCATACCGTTGCCAACAGGTATGAGCTCCAGATGTCGGATCACCAGAACCATGGGTGCATACCACCGTTCTTTGAGGTCCTTCACTTCTACAAGGCGTCATTGCTGTGTGAAGTCATGCACTCCACCTTCGCTGATATGAAACACCTCAAATCCCTACGGTCTCGCTTTCCGGACCTGTATGACTTCATTCAAGATCCGGGCCACCATCAACAACCTTGCGTCTACCTCAGACTCTCACCGTGGCATAGTCCATACTACATTGGTGGCAGCGACATGCATTCAAGAGTCAACAAGTGACAAGCAACTCACAAGACAAGACAAGCAACTCACAAGGCATGCCAAGCCCCAAGTTAAGCGCAGACAGGTTTTCAATCGCGCATCGCAATGCCGCACAGTCGCCACTCCGTACTCGAAAGGCAGAAACATTTTACCCGGTGAGTAGTCGGGCCGCCACGACGAGGAGGCACAGCGCTTTGTCCGAGAGCTTGGTGGTGTAGCCTGGCTCCAGTCCCCACAAAGAGGGCATTGAAGCAAACGTAGGTGCATCACCTTTTGGCAAACGTTGACGCGCCTGCAAGAGCTGGGCCGCCATGGGTTCCAAAGACTTGTTGGCGTTGAGACGGGGCGGGTGGTTAGCCCACTTGACCAGCAATGGCACGGTAGTAGTAGTAGTAGGAGCCTGCTTGAGGTATAATCGTGGCTGATCACTGGTCCAGGTGTAGTGCTTGATGATGTCTTCCGGCGTGTTGTGCGCGGTGAGCAACTGAGGTGTTGCTTGCTTGGAAGGCGGGGAAGACAGTCCGTGAAGAGATTGTATGATCCGAGGCTGCTGCTGAGATGGAACATCAAATGACCTGCCGTCAAGGGCCGCCGCGCTTACCGTGGGTAGCGAGCTGGTAGGCGTCGAAGACTGTGAGTGATTGACCGGAGGCGGTGTGACCAGCTCTGCGTCATCTTTCTGAGAGGGCAACGTAGAAGGAGGCGACGTTCGCTGTGACGCCGAGTACTGTGCCTGGAGCAACTCGTGAGCTCGTTGGAGATTGTTGTACTTCTTGAGCATCTCATCTTCTTGAGCAGGGGGTGTAAGAGTCTTATGATGTTGCTGAAGAAACTGAAGTACCAGATTGCCCAAGTGATCGTGAACCTTGATCCGCTGATTGAAGTCGTCAATGTTGAGTCCCAGCGAATTGGCTAAGTCCTTTTCCAAGGTAAGCAGGTTGAGTGGTTGAGATGGACGGAGCAACTTCGAACAGGTACTCCAAAGCAGGGCCTTGGTGCGGGTACGAAATCCCGCCCACGTCACGAATCTCCCGTGAGCAAATGGTCTCAGTAGCCAGTTAGAGATGCCACCGTGAATGACATATCACGTTGCGTATTGTGTGGGGTGTTGGCAACCGTCATGGGCAGGCTGAAGGAGTAGAGCTGGTTGATGTCCAACATGCCGTCACCAGGTTGCCACTCTTCCGGTGGAGTAAGCCATGCTTTCTGAGGCTGCACTGGCAGCGAGGCTGGGTATCCAGGCGATGTTGTTGTTTGGGAAGGATGAACTGGTGCGTGGCCAGGAGGTGGCATCATGGGCTTCACGGTCTTCGCCGGTGTAGGTTCAGGAGGGAACGGCATCATGTAGTTGACCGGAGGATGCTGATAGAGTTGCGATGAGGAGGGATTCGGCTGGTAGTTGCTCTGCGTCATTGGAAAGGCATTGGGTGCGTTGTAGCTCGGATTGTGTTGCCAGGAGACCAGGTTGTTCCAATCCATGCCGTCCGAGACCAAGGTGTCGTCGTGATCACGTCTGCGCGCATTAGAAGATGGGCTCCTATCCCGTCTGCGCCGAGTTCTGGATCGGTCACGATCATCTCGTCGGGACATGACGACTCAGTGAACCCAGGTGATGGCACAAATCAACCTTGAGAAAGACTAAGACCGACAAGCATCAATTCCATGACAACGCAAGATCATGGCAAGTACAAATCAACACAAGGCAAAGCATGAAAGATCAGCAAGCAGCGCCCAGGCGCCTTTGAGACGTCACTATGATCTGGTGGCTGTCTTCCCTTTAGTGAAACCTCGCTCCTGCTTAAACGTGAAATTCCGCTGGACTATGATATGAACGTTGAGGTCAAATTTTCCGGCGAACCGGCCCGGGGTCACACGATGGGTACACCCGAGGTTCCCCCAAACTGGGGTAGCCACACTTCAACTCCCAAGGGAGGGTGCTAATCTTTCGAGTAC